TTCACTCTCGACACCATTGAGAACTCCCGCCTACAGAGACTGAAGGAGAAGACGTCGCTCTTCAACTTCACCGCCAAGTGGATCCGTGGGAAGGAGCACGTCATCCCAGACGCGCTCTCTCGCGCTCCTGTCGATGAGCCCACCGCTGACGACGATCAACTGGTCCAGGAGGTGGAATGTCATGTCCGCCGGGTATCAATCAGCACCATTCAAGAGATCACTGTTCTGCAAGGTGAAACTCACCTGCCTGACCCGCGTCTGGAGAAGCTCACTGAAGTCGCCAGTTCTGACAGCGAGTACCAACTCCTTCTGCGCGCTGTCACGGATGACTTCCCTGTCTCCAAGGAGCAGCTTCCTCAGCCTCTCCGTCCTTTCTGGAGTGTCCGTCATGAGTTATCCACACACAGTGGCCTTATCCTCAAGGGATGTCGCATCGTCATCCCTGCGGCTTCACGGAAGGCCACCCTGGAGGCTCTTCACGCTTCCCACCAAGGCGTCGATAGAACCAAACGCAGAGCTCGTCAAACCGTTTGGTGGCCAGGCATCAACAGCGACATCACCAACACGGTTGGAGCGTGCAACGCCTGCCAGGAGCGCCGACCGAGTCTACCACCGGAACCGATAGTGCTGGAACCACCACCATCAAGAATCTTCGAGGATCTGTCGTCCGACATCTTCACACTCTCTGGAAGAGACTTCCTGGTCTGTGTGGACAGACTCTCCAACTGGCCAGTGATCTTCCAGTTCCCACGAGGAGACACAACCAGTCGGCAGGTCATCCAAGCTCTGCGAGAGGTGTTCGTCACACTCGGCGTACCAGTACGGCTTCGCACAGACGGTGGCCCTCAATTCAAGAGCAGAGAAATCGCCGCCTTCCTCAAGCGGTGGGGCGTGGTCCACGTCTTCTCCACGCCATACTACGCCCAGTCTAACGGGCATGCTGAAGCTGCGGTGAAGACCATCAAGCACCTCATCGCCAAAACGACGACCAACGGCTCCGTCGACGATGAGCGGCTGCATCAGGGACTGTTGGAGCTGCGGAACACCCCTGGCGCCAGTGGCCGCTCTCCAGCACAGATCGTCTTTGGCCATCCAATCCGCTCCTGGGTTCCAGCTCATCGCAGTGCGTTCGCCCCGGAGTGGCAACTGCGCGCCGACGACTGCGATGCCAGGGCTGCGCGGGATCGTCTTCAACGCGAGCAGCACTACAACTCCTCGGCTCGCAGCCTTCCACCCCTCAAGATCGGAGCCGATGTCCGACTTCAGGATCCCATCAGCAAGCGATGGGATAAAGTTGGTGTCATCATCGGCGTGGGCTACAAGCGAGACTACCACGTCAAGCTCCCCAGCGGAAGAGTACTATGGAGGAACAGGCGTTTCCTCCGCTCTGCAGACAGGCCGTCTGCAACTGACAAGTCGTCACCCGAATCTACGGACCCTGACCCATCTGACGTTCCTGAACGTCGGGTCCGGTTCCAGCTGCCCCCTGCAAGGCTGAGGCGCAGCTCACGTCAACGACATCGTCCGGACAGGCTCGGCTACAGCGACTAGAACTTTTGCCTCAGGCCTTGGCGTTTGGCCTCAGGCCAGGGCGTGTCCACTGGTCGAAGGAAGACATGAATGAGCTGGCCTGGTCAGATGGGAAGCTGTTCGAGCTGCGATGTCCGTTGAACCGTCAAATCGGCCATGTGTGGGCTGCCAGCAGCTCAAACATGCCGGCCGTCGCCGGCGTCAAACATCCGGCCAAAATTCAGACCTGGAGCATGTTCAGCTGCTGTGCAATATTCAAGCTGTTCATGACGCCACAGAAAACCACTATCAGTGACGAGTATTACCGGTGCAACATCATGGCTAGCGATTGGTTGGAGCCACTGAACCAGACGGCACAGGAGGGCTCGGTTTCTGAACGCGTACTGATGCCTGATTCAAGTCGCGCAGTCTTCATGCGGGGCGGCGCACCACCTTCAAGTCCCTAGCAGTATGAGACGTGATGCCGAAAGGACCTATTGTTCTTCTGGGCTAACGGGCTATGGCTTGGAAATAGTTCCCATCCCAATTCCATCGATATCTTATGGACTATTGTCCAGCAGGAGATGAATGAGGGGACACCCGCCACCAGCGCCGCCCAGCTGTGGGCACAGGTTAGTAAGGCGCTGCTCTACATGAAACCCACTGTGCTGGAAAACCCAGTGGCTGGAATGCTCCAGAAATTTGTACCTGCGCTCTTATGAAAGGTGGCTACATAATCATTCAAAAGGGAAAATATCAGATTGTCTTGCTTCTTAATTACAGCGCGACGAAAGGTGTCCGGATAATTTCGTTACACCCTGTAGTCGTTCTGACACGCTGACAACGCTGACAAACAGTCATGGAGCATCTTTGCGACTAGAGAAATGCCTTACGAGTGGACACCACACAGCCGTTTTTCCTTGTGACAGCCTGATGATACCCCACACACCATTTACAGCGCGGTCGATCATAGCATTACGATCTGAATACTACACTGGAATGAGAGGGATGTCATTGGAAATGATGTGTCGCCGACCAGTGCGGTACCTAACGGGCGTGCCCAATGACCTGTGACGAGACAGCAACTATTGATTATCTGTAAAAGGATAACTAATGATAGTTGACATCTTACTAGATTGCAAACAATGATACCCTGAGCATGCAGGCGCTGAAGCAGTTTCATAGTACATTGTCGAGTGAGTTTTTTAAGTTGTTGTCAGCTACGTTGGCTATACAAATTTCAGATATGAACTATGATGCCATAAAATACCGGTCATCCCATCTCAATTAATTCATAGTGGACCCGGTTCGATACTCGTTGCCCCGGCTGGGCTATAAAGAACAGTTCTGTGGCACAAGTTCGACTTGGACTGAATCGAACATTGGATTAGATTGAAAATTACCTCACATATCCGTAAGGGGCTCGCTATTTTAGGCTTTTAATCGATTTCGTACCGATCGCTTTTGTAAAGCAAATTGTGAGACACCAATAGCTGCAGTTTCAGGCATCGCAAGCGTTGCATAGTTGTTTAGGGCAATGTGTACTGATGACAATGTAGATTGGACATCTACTTAGAACATGTAAAAATATCAACTAAGACAATGTTTTGAATCCCTTGTTTCATTGGGCATATGACAGATAAAGTCATAGACGCTTAAAACTGCCGGCGGAAAAGATAAAATGAATTTTGATCACTAATCATTGTCTGTCTTTTATCGTTATCTACATTACACCTAACCGTCAAACATATTTCATCTGGCATGTCTTCTTGACCGTACCCAATCCTGCTATGGTCGAACACCGCCCCAGCTCGACTACCTCCCCCCCCCCCCCCCCTCCACAAGAACAGCAGTCGCAGTTCATCTGTCCCCGTCGCTACTGTGTCGTCCGCTACCATAGACGACATTTCTCTGGTCCCCTGTCTGTGCGGCGAAACATTTTTCATCCGCGGATGTCCTCTGACGCCAGTCGCCGGTAACATTAGTCTGTGGCGCACCAGGGCTGATGGTGCATTTGTCACATCAACTCCCTGGTGTATGGGCCACCACCGCGCGGGTGTGTTTGTTACGGATTCCTCGGGGATGGGACGGTGGAAGAGGTGACATGTGTTCGGTGAGAGAGGTGAAGGGAAGAGAGAGAGAGAGAGAGAGAGAGAGAGAGAGAGAGAGAGAGAGAGAGAGAGAGAGAGAGAGAGAGAGGAGAGAGAGAGGAGAGAGAGAGGAGAGAGAGAGAGAGAGAGAGAGGAGAGAGAGAGGAGAGAGAGAGAGAGAGAGAGAGAGAGAGAGAGAGAGAGGGATAGGAGAGCGATTGAGAGAGGGGGAGGAGCGAGAGAGAGAAAAAAGTAAAGAGGTGCTTTGACAGTCAGACATGCCAATGATATTGATGACGAAGGGATGGAGCAGCGAAAACCTACATATACTTTTATTGGGACTCATAACACTGTGGTTCATGTCGAAAGTACTGAGCTCGTAAGCTATTGTTCAAATCCACACCCACTCAAGGTAAAAGAATCGACCACGCTTTAAAAATATCTTCTTGCACTGTGTCATTTCTTTGGGAATCAGTCACGCTGGATTGAGCAGGTGACATATTTTCCCAGTCATTCTATCTTCCAGCAATATCGTTGGCATCCGGATGATATCATTGCTGTGGGAACTGGGAAGCTGTGTGCTTTCACGGAACTTACGCTGAAGCTTTCAGTGCTCGTAACTCGATTTCAAGGTTGTGTAATTTGAATGACCTTGAAACACAAATACAGCACCTAAAATGTAAGTTATTATGGAAAAGTTGTTGCCTCACAGTGTAGGCATTATGATGTTCTGTACGATATAGCTTATTACGCCTTCGAGACAAAGTTCAGCCAGTTCGCACGCTATTTGTTTTGGAATTCTTAGTACACGCCGGTTTTCAAGCTTCTGCGATTCAAAAGAAATCAATGACCCTACCTCGCCTGGCACACGTCCATTTGCCAATTGTTTCCGTCAATTAGATGATTGGGTTAGTCCTGTTCTTGAAAAGACACTCGACATTTCGCCGATACTGCTGATTAGCCATTGTTATGTTTAGGTCTCAAGCCACTGCCAGTTTGAAGTGCTTAATGTTACAAAAGTTTCTTATGCTTCGTTCTCGATAGCAGCGATCTAGTCGTGTGGCTTCACTTTTGCACGATTGTAGAATTACATATTTCTCCGAGGAGGCAGATGGTAATAAGTATAGTGCAATGGTGCCTATCACCCTCAACCTTTGTTCAGTAAACTTTTGTTTTTATAGCAGCGTCTGTTCCGCCTTCCTAGAATGTCCGCTTCCCCTCACTTTCTAATTTAGCGTTGCAGAGTCCAAGTCTCATTTCCTTTTTGCCCGTCCCTTTTTGCATTTCCTCATTGCCCTTTTGCCCTTCTTTCCAACCCGCGTCGACGTTTCAATTAAGAAACCTTCTCACTCCCCGCAGCGCCCAGCCTCCCTTCTAACCCCGCTCTCCCACTCCCCGCAGTGCCGATCGCGTCTCGCCAGTGGCGTCATCACCGGCTGTCGCTTGGATGGCGTCATCGGACCACCGCCGACATTGTCCGCGTCCGATACCTGACCGGTGCAGAGGTGCGACTCAACGTACACACGGAGCTCAGCAACCTCCACCTGCTCGGTTTCCTCGTGGCTTCGGAGGACATGAGTGAGGAAGGTAGGTGGGTGGGAGGGAAGTGAGGACTGTTCGTGTGAGGACATGGGGAGTTTAGTTTAGTTTAGTTTATTACATAAACACTCACGGGATATGGTGGGCCCATTGACGAGTGAAGTACACATTTCAAACAACAAGTTAAAATGGGTTAAAAATACACATAATAAGATACATACACTAAAATGGATCAGCAATGCATTCGACAATATGCCACGACCAGTTTCTTCCACTGCAGGGCGCTCAGGTGCCAAACGTCTGCCTCACGCTGCTCGTTAAGAAATGTGTTGCACGTTCGCGGAATGCGACAAAATAGTCCCTGCTTAACAGTGGTCACCCGCGCGTACGGTACATGGAACAGGTTGCGCTGGCGCAATGAGCGAGGTGGTATACATAGAGGCATGCTGTTTAGCAGGTAAGCCGAATCGATGTCCTGTCTGTGAATATTCCGGATAAACATCAGGTCGTGCTGCTGCCGCCGTGCAGCCAGAGACATCAGATGAAAATGCTTCGAAAGGTTAGCAGAGTTAAGTTCCGCATCGGCAATACGACATCGACCACAAAGCCAAATAAGAAATTTCGTCTGTACACGTTCGAGGCGATTTAGATGGGTGGCCGCAGCTCCTCCCCAGATAACGCTGCCGTATTCCAAGATAGGCCTTACATTGGCACAATACGTGCGGATGATAGCTCTGTAATCACAACGATACAGCGATCTGCCATGCTTTCCTGTTTGGAAGGACCTGATTAGGAGCCCTAATGCTCTATTAGCTTGGCGAACAACACGATCGATCTCGCTGCCAAACGTCAGTTTTTCATCCAAGATAACACCCAAATCGCGCATTTCACTGACTCTTTCAAGTGCTGCGCCTCCTATGGTATATGCAAATGTTACTGGGTGACGTCGCAGAGAAAGAGTCAGGATCTTACATTTAGCAGGATTCAGTGTTAGGCCCCACTTCCGTGACCAGTAACATAGCTCATCTAACTGCCTCTGCAAGAATTCACAGTCGGTATGAGACGTAACCCTGTGATAAAGTTTTACATCATCGGCGAACATGAGGCAATTTGTGTTGACAGAATTCGGCAAATCATTGATGTAACATGAAAATAACAGCGGCGAAAGGAGGCTTCCTTCCGGGGTTCCCGACGGCACCGACATCCACGTTGAACATTTCCCATTGACAACCACTCTCTGCTCCCTATCGGTAAAGTAAGACTTAAGCCAGAGAAACGCCCGATCTGTCACTTTGAAAGAACATCGCAGCTTGTGTAACAGTAAGCTGTGGTTCACGCTTTGGAATGCGGCGCTGTAATCGGTATATATCACGTCAGTTTGCATCCCGTCAGAAATGTTGTCCCAAGCCTCGTGGAGCATAGTTGCTAAATTTGTCATACATGAGCGCCTCGGCATGAAGCCATGCTGCTCGCTGCGAAGCACGGGATTAACATGGTTAAACAACGAAACATAAACAACACGCTCGAGAACTTTGCTGAGTAACGGTAATAGCGATACAGATCGATAGTTGGCCGGATCACACTTATTACCCTTTTTGAATATCGGGATAATATTCGCTCGCTTCCAGGAACGGGGCACAGATCCCTGTTCCAACGACAGCCTGCAAATAATGGTGACTGGCACAGTGAGCTCTTCGTAGCACTCACGTATCACCCTCGCACTGATTCCGTCAGGGCCGCATGCCTTGTATGGACTGATGCTGAGCATGATGCTGCGGACAGTCTCTTCTGAGATTCTAAACTCGCTGAGCACGTCCAGATTGTAATCAGGTGGTGTAGGTAGCTGTTCCACGCGGTGTTTGGAGAATTTACGACTGAACGCACGATTAAGTAGCTCGGCTTTGTCAGTGTCCTTTGTTACTTTCCGACCACCTTCCATCAGATGTGGAATCGCACTGAATTTGCCTTTTATAGTTTTTAGGAAAGTCCAGTACCGCTTAGGGTTTGACTTTAAGTCCCCAATAAGACCCTTCAAAAACTCGTAGAACTTTTGGCTTGCTAGACTCTTGAAATTCCCTCGCTGCTGCCGGAACGCCTCCTCGGTGACCGGTGTCCGGTGTCGTTTGAGCCGTCGGTGGGCACCCTCCTTCTCTCTGAGGGCGGCCCGCAGCTCGCCGTCAAACCACGGCGGCTGACGTCGGCGGAGCGTCACCACCGGTATGTGGTCCCGGATGGCCGCGTCCAGCAGGTCGTAGAAGCGGTCGGCAGCCTCGTCCACTGGAAGACCGTCTAGTAGGATCCATGGTGTGCGGCTGAGAGACGTGCGGAGGCCTTCCCAGTCAGCACGCCGGTAGTTCAGCGCTGTCTGCCTCGTTACGAGTGGCACGGCTGCCCGCGCTATCTGCACGGTGCACGCAACCTCACGGTGATCGGATGGAAATACACCGTCCCGGACCTCTGCCTCGATCGGCAGCCCACTGGACATGACCAGGTCAAGGACATTGCCGCCACGAGTGGGCTGTCCGACGTATTGCTTCAGGCCGGCCAGGTGGCAGCCGTCCAGCAGCTGCTCGGCGCGCCGGGTGCGGCGCAGCACGGTGGGCGCCGCCCAGCCGGCCTCCGTCCGCGTCCAGCCGAGCTCGGGTACGTTGAAGTCTCCGGCTGCCAGCAGCGCTTTGTCGGGGTGAGCGGTCGCGATGTCGCCAATCGTCCTCATTGCCGCGGACAGCGATGTTGCATCATCAGGCGGACAATAGCATACTGCTAATAGTAATGTCGGCAGCGTCCGCAGCTCGACAACGAGCACCTCAGCGTCGCGCGGCTCTAGCGCCTCACGCCGCTCCGGGAGGAAGGTAGGTGGGATGGAGAGTGGGGATGGTACGTGAGGTTGTAATTGGGAGATGAATGAGATATGTGGCGGTGGTATTTGAGGACGTAGGTGGAAAATAAATGTGAGAATATGATAGGTGAAAGTATGTGAGGACGGGAGTGAGGATGGTATGTGAGGACAAATGGTGAGGGTATGATGACAAGATTGATAACACGAGGATACACGAGGACATGGTTATTATTCCATGTTGGCTTCAGTGAGGATCTACATATGTAGGTGAGAACTATTACTTGGGGACTTCTCATTCTCTTTGAGGCTACATGCAGGTATAAAGCTGTGGCACTCATTTCCATCCCCTCGAGATGCACTAGACTGAACAGAATGAATGCCCAGCAAGGCACAGTTAAGTAAATTTTCCTATCACAGTTATCGTGACTCGTCTCAATTCCTTTTCCAGTAGCGTGTCTTATCGAGTTCGGTCCTGATAAGGTTTATTACTTGTGTTTCGCTCCTGCGTATCTACGCAGAAAACATTTATTTTCTTGAACTGACACAAAGTAAACAATGATAAAACGTGATAAATGGGCTTTATGTCTGTGTGAATGTAAATCATGGAATTCTTGCACTGTTGATTTATGCAAGAGGCTAGGCAGTGACTACAATTTATATTATGTGTTTGTTCATCTACCTGTAACCTCGTTGGGCCCAAGTGGCCTGCTGTTACATGGAATACATGTTATGTTATGTTATGTTATTATGAAGCTTGTTTTACAGACCGTCAATAGCGAACTTTGCACTGTTGAAGGCATCCACTGGAATTTAGCGTTTGTGTGAGTAGTTGCTTGGAAGCACACTGCATAGTTATAAAGGCTAACATAGAAGGAAACCAAGCCAACAGTACACGATACCTGTAAGTAATCAAGCTTGCTTACATTTTTGCAATGACCTTGTATGGCCGCACTGTGACTCGACACATTCCCGTTTTCAGATCACACAGGTCTTGAGGACTGCTCGTATCACAAGGTCCTGCAGGCTCTTCGCCTGGCTGATGGTCTCTGGTATCATCTCATGTGTTCAGGTCAGTAAAACCGCCTTAGCTCTGCTCAGTGTTTACCTGATGTGTACAGGAAACGTAATTTCTTCGTATTGTTTCCTTGGTGCATGCATACGCTTGCACTGTTCGCCCATGCTTGTATCATTTCCCGTTGGTAACATTGGTGCCTACTGTCGTCCTTACTGAACAATGTCTAGATGGAATATGTGAACATGACTTTTGGTCTAGGTATTCTGTATGTTTGTGAAATGCTCGTTATCGATATAATAGAAGCATCATTCCTTTCTCTATAGTAAAACTAATGAGGTATTAGTTCCTTACGGAATAAAGCATGTATAACCCCAAGTGTCGGTAAAGTGGCAACATTACCTCTATTGTCTAGAGCAGTAGTAAATGTCGCAATGCCATCAATTCCCATTGTACTTGTTACGACCAGTCTGATTCATGTGACATTTGGAAATGTGCCTGGATCTATACATTCGATTGTTGACACTGAAAACAGGGATTAAATAATAAATAGACCCGAGTCCCGATGCATTGTTGCGGTTCTCTCCCAGTGAGTCTAAACTGACTCAGTCTGCATTCTACCCTTCTCACTCCCAAACTAACCCCTCTCGCTCCCTCTATGCCCCACCAGGTGACCTGGAGCGGTTGAAGCTGATTCTCCTGTGCAACTTTCGCTACATGTGGCAGTCGGCGCGGCTGCGCGGCGCCCGACACCTTCAGAGGGTGGTGTCCGCCACCCGGCACCGCTTCCTGGACTGGGAGACGGAGCTGGTCCACCACGCCCTGCAGAAAACCATAGGTATGGTGTGAAACAGGTGTCAAGGGGCCGGGAAATTTCAATGAAGCGAGCATGAGGCGATGGTGTATAATGTATATCTACTTGTTCATGACGAAATTGTAAGCTGGTATGAATAAGCATAGTTCTCAAACATAATATCTGTTTTTGTGTACTTACAGGAGGACGACGTGCAATGCGATAGATTGAGAGGGTGATGACAAAGCCATGACAATATTTTTCTCATCTATTATGACGAAACTGAAACCTTGTATAATCACAAGTATCGCATATCATGTGTCATGAGAACCTATAAGATCACAAATATCCTCCGTTGATAACTGAGGTTAGCACTCGCGACCTTCATTCAAAGTTTTCCAGCCACATGACACTGAATGGCCACAAATGCCAAACTTCCTGGCGGTGATAGCGGTGGGGGAAGTGATTTAAAGTTTCGTACCAGTCTGATTGGATGTCTGAGATACAGTCTTCTGGGAGATTGTCTCAGCAGATTTTGTCCGTCATGGAGCTTAAACTATTTAAAGTAAGAGTATTGCATTACCATGTTCGACGAATTTAAGCATTTCATTACCCTTCGATCAGCGGTTAACCTTCGCCCCAGTGGGGGGGGGGCATATGTTACCACCCTGTCGCGTTTTTTGCGTGTAAATAAAAAACCGCGGCGCGTAGCGCCGCGCCGCTTGGGGTAGCTTTTGGTACATCAATTTTGGACAATGTGTGAAATTTTTGACCCCAGGTCATGTCAGGTCAGGTCACCAGGTCAAGTTAACTGACCAAGCCTAAAAAAAAGTTTGCAATCATGTCCAGCCAGCAGTGTTTGTCGGAAAGGTTTAAAACTTGGTGGATTGGATGATGTTATGGGCGCCTACAATTTGTATATCTCGGATTTTTTATATCCGTGACCTAAGGTCAGGTCAGTGGCGTGACCTTTCCATTACAAGTCAATGGAGAAAAATGAAAATGCCTCTAGATCCGTGTGTACGCATAGGAACAGTCCAAATATTTCAGAATCACAATGATTTGGACCACCCGTGATGACCAAGGTGTCATTTTTGCTGATAGCCTCTAGAAAGGTCATCCGAGGTCATTTGAGGCTACAAACAGTTTTTTGCCAATAACTCAAGATTGGAAAGAGATAGAACGCTGGGGATGGTCTCATTGTGTTTGTCTTGCCGAGACGCATCGACTGATATGCAACATGACCTTTTCCGGTCAGGTCATGACCTTGACCTGAGGTCAAATTTTCAAGTTGTTCTTTCAAGGTCAAATTATAGTTCATTCGACGCGTCTCGGTGAGAGGAACACGATTCTGGCAATAGAAATGTCGTGGCTTTTTGTAGTCGAAAGTTATTGTCGAAAAACACTTTTCGTAAAAACAGCTATTTTTGGAGTTTTTGCCCTCTGGAGGCTAAACCGTTGACCTGAGGTCAATTTTGATAATGACCTTATCAAAAGAAGAGTTCAAAAGCTATCGATTGCTGTTCCATGCGTTTTTCTAGCTAACATAGTTCCTGAGATAACCGCATGTTTTCTGAAAAAATATAATGACCATTAGCAAATTTTGACCTTTGATGACCTCTGGTGACCCCAATATTGCTCTAAGATGAAATATGACCGAAATACTTTCAAACGTACGCATTGAGAGCTATCGACTGCTTTTTACCGCGTCTTTCTATCCCTCTTAGTTTTTGAGTTAGAGGTGGGTGGTAACATATGCCCCCCCTCACTAGGGCGAAGTTGGCTGAGACCGCCACTGGGGCGCGGGTTAACCCACTGAGACGAGCATAAGGCTGCTCTTATATATCTTACTTAGATTTCTTATTTATACTCTTATTTAGCAAATTCAAGCGTTGTGCTTGTATAAAAAGTGTTATTCTGATACCTACATTCACTTCGTATGGAGCATCGCATCTTGTATCTGTTTCAGCGTGTTGCGTAATGTAACATAATCACCGCTCCAAACCTAACCCGTGATTAATCAACGTAACCCGTGAGCGATCAGCTGGATCCTCTTGTGACGTCACCATCCTTTCCAGGCCTGAGCGGCGATTGGCGCGATCAGCTTGACCCCCTTGTGACGTCACCGTTCCTTCCAGGCCTGAGCAGCGATTGGCGCCATCAGCTGGCGCCGCAGCTGCTGGTGTGGCTCCACCACTGTTCTGGCTCGGTCGGGTCCCCTCTGAGTCACCTGCTGGGCTCTGTGGTCGACTGGTGCGTGAGACAGACCAGGCCACTACTGGTGCCGGCCACTGTCTGGATACGCACCAGTCTGCCCGACACAGTCTGGGGTAGGTGACAGGAGTCTGGCTGTGTCAGTCTGAGGTAGGAGGCATTTAGATAGCCTGGCAGTCTGCCTGACTCAGTGTAGGTGACAGTGTAGGTAGGTGACATTAGTTGCGTAGTCCGTGCGATGAAGTCTGGAGCAGGCAGCAACCAGCTGCCTGATTTAGTCACTAGACTGCGCTACACAGTCTGGAGTATTCGGCTAGTCTGTTGGACAGACTGCGTCGGTTGGCGACACAGCCGAGCTTAGCGACCTCCGCCGATGCTGCCTTGAAAAGCTATTCGGACGAGCCTGCGCCCGCGGCCGAGAGATGTCGCTAGTGGTCGACGCCTGCAGTGGTATGCTGTGCCGCATTACGCGTAGCGTTGAAAATTGACGGTAGATGGCAGTAGGGGTCAGCGCCTGGAGGTAGGCTGTGCCGCAAGACATCTGTTTATAGCGATTCGGTAGATTGGACGGGAAACAAGTGGTATGATTATAGCTTTCGATTCGTTTCATATTTTCTTGATTATGAATATTATAAAAAGAATGAAATAGTGGCTATCGCGTTGCATTTAAGTGTACTATAAACGTGGGTATTCGCAATCAGTTTTCGCTACTTCGACCCTTTCAGCTCTTGAGCTTGGTGTGAATTGTTGAAGCCGAAACTCTACACATACGCCATCCCTCTACTGTTTCCATTTTCACCACATTTTTTCCCGCAGTTTCATATCTCGTTCCATCGTGTTCCCGTATCTGTACGCCGCCGGTGTACCAGTTAACATCTGTACCCGTGTGATACAGATCTGCCACTGCCAGAAGCTGTACAGCTGTACTCCCCGGCACCGGACGGGGTACACGTGTACGTGGCCTGTGGCGGTCGCTGCTTTCACCTCTGGCGACTGCTGACTTCAAAACTGGTACACACGTACAGAGGTGGGTGGGATGCTTAAAAACGGCACATGACTGTAATACGAACTATTGTCTCTTGCATAACGAAGCTTATTGCATCGGGTGCTGTTTTTCTTCTTCTTAGTACGAGTATATTTCCTCTTGTGCTTGCTCGGTTGAGAGCATTCCCGAAACATTATGCTCGTAGATGTGTATTTTTATAAAATATTGTAAATGTGAGTATAGCGGGTAGCATGGTAGCAAGTGCATTCTATACAAACACTTATTTTGGTAAAACCGTGAAATGTGAACGCTTTTTCGTGACATTTAAGGCGTCACTTGATAAAGCTAATCGAATGCATAGATAATGCATCTCAACTTGCATTGAGAGTAACGCCTAACAAGAGTTCCAACTTACAAAGCTATTTTCACTCCACCGCGTTCACTACACCTACCACACCTCCCAGTCCCTTCATCTCTGACCCCCCCCCCCCCTTCCCTCTCCGGTCAGGTCACACGGGTGACGTGACCTGCGTATACCCGTCCCCGGACGGACGATACGTGGTCTCTGGTGCCGAGGACTGTCTGGTGATGGTGTGGAGCGCCACCAGTCACCAGCCGCTCATCACCATCGAGTGAGTGGTGATCTCGATTCGACTGACGTTTGTAGAGATAGATCGACGTTAGTGGTTGCCTAGTGGGATGCTGCTATCAACTTATGGACACTTATGCAGCTTACAGCGGAGAATTTAACTTTCAATGATAGTAACTATCACATATGCACTGCAGAGGTGATCAGGGGTTTGGTCTGTAGTGAATTGTGCATGCGAGCCAATTAAACATTTTATGGATTTTTACTCATCATATCAACAACTTCTAAATATTTTTTTTTTACAGTTAAGTACAGTGACTTACGTCAGCCATAGATATTATAAGAAGCTCCGTTTTGTGCTGTGGCTTGTTGTAAACATGTTGACAAACAACTCCTCGTGCGCCGCTTTCAGCCGCCACATCGCCTGCGTGCTGTGCGTGGCCGTGACATCACTGGCCCGACACGGTGACGTAGTGGTGAGCGGCGGAGAGGACAGCTGTCTGTACGTCACCCGGCTGCCGGGCGCCGAAGGTACGTAATACGTCACTGGATCGGAACAGATTGGTGGTATGCGTTTTATGAGCAGTGGGAAATGGGGAACGAGGATCGTAACGATGAGGATCGGTGAAGATCATCGCTCCAACATTATGGCTTTATTGACGTTGAAATATGAGACGATCGCTTTGCTACAAACCGTTCGTAGTTATGTGCACGGACGTGTGAATATGGCAATTAATCTGTAAGCAGTTCTTATTATACCTGGATTACCAAATAAGCATAACCCGGGCTGATTTATGATCAATTGTTTTTCCTGTCCGCCAGGTGGCAGCAGTGAGCCCCGCCAGCTGTCGCAGCACAGAGGACCGGTCACCTGTCTTCAGGTCAACGCCGAGGCAGAGGTCCTGGCCTCAGGTCAGTACCGAGACGCGACACTGGAGATAAAAGCGATGTACATTTTCACAAACATGCTTATTATCAGAGCATGCTGATACCTTTTCGTCAAATGCAGCAACAGATGTTGTAAACTGCAAACACCTTTTCCACCTCTTCTTACAATGGTTCAGAAGATAAGAGTTAAGACATTTGTATCTCTTTTTCTCAAGGTCCCACGATAAGACAGTGATTCTGTTGTCTGTTTCACTGGATCAGACGATAGTCGCTGCCTTGCCTTTATCTGTTTCAGGCTCCCACGACAAGACAGTGATCCTGCTGTATTTCTGCGTTTCAGGCTCCCACGACCAAACTGTGATCGTTTCTGTATGCCGCTCCATATTCAATGCTAGTCTAGCCTTTCTGTGTTACTCAGGCTCCCACGACAAGACAGTGACCCTGTCTGTTTGTCTCTTTTCGTTCCTATGATAGCCTGTTATCTCTCTGTGTTTCTCAGGTTCCCACGACAAGACAGTGATCCTGTGGTCGCTGGAGTCTCTAACCGTGCTGAATGAGATCATCATGCCGTCGGCAGTCAGCCATATGTCTGTCTCTGGAGGAGCGGTAAGAACAAGACACAAAATGAAAGCAGGGACACCGTACGTTGACAGGGGATAACTGTAAGGTGCATGTAGATTGTAGTGGCATACGGAACTTTTGGCAAGAAGTTACGTCTTATTTCACCTGTTGATTTTTTTTCTTAGTAGCAATGGTTATCACAGTTATCAACGTATTACAGCTAGGATCAGGGTGCCAAAATGCTTTTGGAGTTATGTGAAAATTGAAGCGCCATGGATAGGACCAGCTTTTTGTTATTTAGAGCGCTCACCTGTTTTTATATATTTTTCTGACCTGTGTTATGCGCATGAACTCACGTCACTCCTTGAAAACGAATGTTTGTGTATAATTGGGCTGACCAGAGTTTCATGTTTTCAGACGTTTCTGCTCACCGCCTGTCTGGACATGACGGTCTATGTGCACAGCTTTACCACTGGGAGCCCGTTACATACGCTGAAAAACCACCAGAGTCAGGTCGGTATCCGTGCGGAGTCTAGCCAGTAAATCACAGCAGTCAGCCCAGTTCATCAGCAGTAATCGCCACGCACTTTGAGAATGTGGATCGCTCATGATTGTTCAATACAATACAATCAGTTAGCTGACTCGGTATTGATCTTGCTGTCAGTGATAGCTCAGTAAATTTTTCGACGAGTGTTCATCCGTTTTCGATTAGCTTGTAAGAAAATACTGGCTTATGTTGAATTTAAATGGTGTGGCCGTTTACGCCTATGACAGATGTAAACCGAAAAAGTGATTGCCCGTTATTGGCTTCGCCACTCTTTGACTTGTTGTCTACCATCTGACGTAAGCCGTCTCGTAAAAACCGTCAACAGTGATTGGCTTATCTACAGGCACCCTGATATATGATTGGCTGATCGGCACGTGACCTTAGTGGTGTCACAACAAAACCCTAACGCTGATTGGCTGATCTCGAATAGCACTCTCGCTGATTGGCTGTTGGGCAGGTGACCTCTGTGACCCCATCTAAGAACAGTACGCTGATTGGCTGATCCCACCAAACACCCTCTCTGATTGGTCAGGTGACCTCGGTGACGTCTTCGGAGGACGGTAACCTGTGCGTGGTCGGCTGCCGCGACTCCAAGGTGTACGTGTACGACATACCGTCCTCCAAGCTGCTGAAGACGCTCACCAAACACGGCAGTCCGGTACTGGCTGCTCTGTTCACATCGCACGGCAGGCTGCTCATCACGGCAGGTGGGTGGAATCGGTGGGCATCTACCAAACAAGTGGGGTTGTTTCGGAGTATGCGATACGATGTTGATTTTGTAGCATCGTATACGGTGGAGCACTTAACTCAGTGTGAGGAAATGACAGGTATACGGAAATATGGATGTGTTTTTGAGTTACACGTTGTATCAACTATCGAGTACCCGAGTGGGCTCCTGATATTCCATACCTATGTGGCAGCCATTGAACCATTCCTTGTTGTAAAATCGGTGCAGCTTTGATATGTTTGATAATCAAATATCAATCATGGCAGTGGAGACCGGTACTGAAAGCATTTTTGACAAAACCACTGATAATAAAAAGTTATTTATTATCGATATTGCAATTTTGATTTTGACTTTTTAACGGCTTTGAATCATTTTCATTAATCTCTCCCTCTCTTCAGGCGACCGCCGGGTACTGGTAACCCACGTCCAGCCGCTGACCGTGAAGCCGAGGGTGTACCTGTCCGACCGGAAAAAGATACCCGTGGAACATACCGCCGACGTCACCTGTCTGGATATATCGGCCGACCAGAGCATGGTCGTCACGGGTAAGTGTTGGAAATTAGACTGTTTGAGCCGGATGACAGACGAGGAGAAGCTTGTGAAAATAGGAGCTGGCTTAGAGTCACACATTTGGGCGGAGAAAATGACATTTATTACGGTTACTTGCATTTTTGTTCTGCCTTAGGGGCTTCTGTACTCTGACAGCCCAAATCAGTGTGATCTGCTTCATATTCGAGTTGTGTTTTGAAACATTTCAACGATGGCTTATCTTATACGTTTTCAGGCGTAATTGCATTCACTTCTAACCTTTCTTAGGTGCTCCGTGAATGCCTTTCTTACCCTGAATGTCAAAAATAAACGAACAATATCTAATAAATTTACCGCCCCTCTTCCTCCCCCACCCCCAGGCTCCAGCGACTCGCACCTCAAGGTGTGGCTGGTGCCCTCTGGTGACCTGCACGCTACCCTAGAGGGTCACACAGGAGCCGTGACCTGTGTCCAGTTCGCCCCGAACGGACTTTATGCAGTCAGCGGCTCACGAGATAGCTCCATACGAGTCTGGGGACTGACTCTGAACATGGTGGTATCCGCGTTCACGGTGAGTGGTGGATGGGGCTGTGACGTCATCGATGGGCGGGTGACGTCATCAGGGGGATGTCCAAATGGTGAAAATGATATGTGGTAATTCTATGAAGTAATTTTATGAAGTAATTAAAAGTAAAACTTTGTGAAGCAATGCAGGTATGGATCTAAGAATTTAAAATAAAATATAAAGTATTACGTAAATAAGATCTCGCGGATGAGGTAACATAAGTTCCCATGGGTTACTGTCATGTTTTTCTTTATTCAATAAGGAGTAATGGAGAAGAGAAATGTGTCATTATGCGAACTCCCCATTATCAGATGAATCGGATCGAGGAACGTCATAAGATGTAATTGTATTGCTTGTTTACAAATAAATGTTGATTTGTTATTTGCAATACAGTTTTTACGTATGGCGTTCATGAGCCCATGCATTGCTACGCGTTATTGATGGTGTCATGTTCTTGCAATGTTATTTACGGCCGTGTGCTGTTTTTCGACAGGACCACCAGGCTCCGGTGGTGTGTCTCAGTGTCTTATCGGACAGCAAACAGACACTGTCTGCGGACAGCGACGGCGTACTCATGGTAAGGCATGGGCCACACATGTGCGAGGGTTTGCTCAGTTGTCATTAAAGTCTAAGCATGATGTAAGATCAGCATATTGGTGAACTATATACCTACTGGGGTAAATGAGGGCAGTACTGATGAGCGTAACGCCGATTTGTGAACGAGAGAGCGCAGCGAGCGAACGAGTTTATTTGTGGTTGTCTGAGGCACATTGTGATCTGTGACAGATTAATACCGGTATCGTCCTGCTGACCTGTGTCAATGTGTCAGTGTCAGTATCACTGACCTCTGCCCCGTATACCAGCTGTGGCAGGTGGAGATGGGTATTGTGCTGCTGACCTGTCAGTATGTCAGTGTCAGTGTGTCAGTGTCAGTGACCTCTGCCCCCTTTATCAGCTGTGGCAGGTGGAGACGGGTATCGTCCTACTGACCTGTCACGGTCCGGGTCATATGATCCGAGTCACTCCGGACCGCAGTCACGCCGTCTCCGGCAGCAGCGAGGGCAGCCAGTGAGTCAGCACCACATAATAAAACAGTGAAAATCGTCCCCATATTTCCAAATTATAATGAGACGCACTGTTGTTATTCTTACGGGTGAGAGGTCCTCAGGTATTCTCAAAGAACTGTACGTGGCTACGTTAGGTAGATAATTGAGAGATCTTCTGCTTAGTGGCACTGTTATGAAATATGAATGGTTCGATGAGAGGTTGTGAAGCGAACATTTTTTGTCACATTAACCCGCGCCCGGCTGGGGGTCCTGGATTTCCACGCCCTGCTGGGGGGGGGGTGTTTGAACACCCCCCCCCCCTTCTAACTCGGCTCCTGGGCCACGTAGCGATACGCGGAAGGCGGCGTTCGAAAGAGCGTCAAAAATAATGAGGAAATCACTTCGGTCAATTTTTTGGTCAGGTCAAAGGTCAGGTCACCAGAGGTCATTGAAGGCAAAATTTCGCCGATTTCCAGGTCGAATGTCGACAATTTCCAAGAAGCCAGCGCATAACTCGGGAACCAATAGAGCTACAGCGCCGCGGAAAAGCGCATTCGATAGCCCTATTAACGCCCTTTCTGAGTAATTTTCTCAGATTTGACCTAACGTCAACGGTTTTGCCTGCAGGGGGCAAAAACTGCAAAAATAGCCGATTTTTTCGGAAACAGTTTTTCTGCAATAACTTTTGACCCAGACCTTGTACGAGCTTACTTTTACCGGCATCGTGTTCCTCTCGTCAAGACGCATCGAATGAACCATAACTTGACCTTTAAAGGTCAACTTGAAAATTTGACCTCAGGTCAACTGGTCATGACCTGACCGGAAAGGGTCATGTTGCATATCAGTCGATCCGTATCGTCGAGCTGAACACATCTTAGGCGTTTTCATCGCTCTAGCATGCCCCTATCAAAAGTTATTTGCAAAAAATTGTTAGATACCATTCGTGACCTAAGATGACCTCAGGGCATAAACAGGGGTCACGGACACCATTTTCATGTTCAGTGTGTCTAAACCACTTGTAATTCAGTGTTTGGGAGTGTTTATAATGTCTTTCGTCCAAAAGAGGCGCATTTCAATTTTCTCCCATTGACTTATAATGGGGAGGTCGCAAAATTGACCTGACCTTAGGTCATCGATATCAAAATTCTGAGATATACATTTTGTACATGCTATTGCTCTTAGCAATCGCTGAAAGTTTCAAAGCGATCGGTCACTCGGTGTAGCTATGACGGACATTGAAACTTTTTATGAGGTGAGGTCACTTCAAGTGACCTGGTGACCTGACCTTGAATGACCTTGGTCTGAAATTTTCACAACATGTGTAGAATTGATGTATGATAAGGTGTACCAAAAACGGCGGCGCTCCGCGCCGCCGTTTTTGAGATATTCGCGAAAAACCACAAGGGGGGTGTTCAAACACCCCCCCCAGCAGGGCGCGGGTTAACACAGCTTGTATTTTGTTCCCGATCATACGAATCAAAAGGTTACCTCTGCCCGTCCTAAAGCAACATTTGCATCTTGCATCTTGCATCTTTGCAATAAAATAAAATTTGTTAGAAGCATCTGTGTTCCAAGTGCCCACCCATCTTGAAACGAACCTCACATTTGACTTCCAGGCTCTATGTGTGGACGCTGAGCAAGGAGCACACCAAATACACCATTAGCCACAATGACGCCATACGCTGTTTTGACGTCAGCAGTGACAGTCTGCACGTCATCACGGGCTCCAATGACGCCTCGCTGAAGGTGTGGACCATCGCAGAGGGACGGCTCACCCAGGTCAGTCAGAGTGGCGTCAGAATGACGTCATAAATTCGTCTGGTTGTACTGTTCATCGTAACGAGACTGACCTGAATTGAGCCACCATTTAGGATCAGACACATCAAGATACATGTGTTTACGAATTTCGTACAAACTAGTGACCATCCATATCAAATATGGTAAATTAAGAATCATATTGCCAGTAATTATCATGTTTATAACTGAATACGCGACGTGAATCAGTTGTGCATCATGCCTTATGTAGCATGCAGTGCGGTGCAGCTGCCTATTGTAGCAGTCAGTGTCAATATATAGACCTCTGTACACCGAGGTCTAGAGGTCTATGGTCAATACTATAAACTGACTGTGTCATGCCCCGACTGGCTGACTGCCACAGGTTCTGGTGGGCCACGAGGCAGCGGTGACCTGCGTTGCCTACCCTGCCTATGTTAGTCACACGGCTGCGTCAGGCGGAGACGACTGCCTAGTCATGGCCTGGGACGTAGGCACAGGTAACTGGCCGCTAATGAACTCGCGTTGGGGGTGGGGTGGTGGTGTTTGCAATACCGAGGATAATCTGATTATCTCTGTTATTTTTGGGGCTTAGTTGGAAAATAATCCCGATTGCTGAGTATATGTTGTCCAATTTCAGTCACCTGACCTGTCACCTTACCATGGGACCTGACCTATGACCTGACCTGTGACCTGACCTATGATCTGACCTGTGACCTCACTCAGTGACCTCTCTCGGTGACCTGACCTTTGATTCTACCCTGTGATTCTGACCTGTGACCTGACCTGTGACCTGACCTGTGACGTGACTTGTGACCTTATTATGTGACCTCACTCAGTGACCTGACCTGTGGCCGTCAGGTCAGACCCGTCAGGTGATTCGGGACCACACGGCACCAGTGACAGCGGTCAGCATGACGGCGGACGCCGGAATGATCATATCAGGTATGTGGGGGCGTGGGCCAACCGTGGTGACCCCCAATTCTATTGAACTTTGCATCATTTCCAGCCTTATATTCCTCGGGATTGGTATATTGATATTGAAATGCCCCAAACACAAATAATAATAATAAAATATTCATATTGACTAGTGGTCAACTTGACGTCCTTTACAAATATTAAAATCGTGTGTGTAAACGTTTGCCTTTAGACGCAATGCCGGCTTAATTGATATTTTCCTTGATCTCTCCCGTATCTCGATGTGTTTTTGGACAGGCTCAGTAGCTTACTTGGCCTAAGTGTATATCTCCCAACAAGCTTAGTCATGGCGTATGTTTTTTTCGGGCAGGTTCAGTGACCGGCTGGGTGTATATTTCTCAAGTTTGGTGACGACTAAGGTATTCTGTTTTCGGGCAGGTTCAGTGACGGGCTGGGTGTACGTCCACAAGACGATCTCTGGTCACTGCGTGACGTCCATCGCTCTGCACAAGGCGGTGGCGGGCCTCTGTATCTCCGCAGACGCCGGCAAAATTGTCGCAAGGTCCGTGGGTCAGAGTTTTGGTTATGTGGCGGTATGAACATGTATGCAGGTAATATTTATGAGTGATAGTTTGTGAATAACTTTATAATTACTTGAATCACTTTTTTTTAGAACTGTGCCATTTGCGTTTATTTTTGTGCAGTTCGTGATTTTGTGTCGTAGAGAGATCGTTTCCCATGCTAAGAACGTAGATAATGATGATCTGGAAGTATTTATTTTAAAAACTGGTAGCAAGTTCTGGGAAGTGGAACTTATGATTTAGCGTGTAAAACATTAGTGACCACCGTTTTCTAATTTCGTTTCCAGGTTACAGAACAGCATGTACTTTGCCCTGCTGAGTTTCCTCAACGTACCGCCGCTGGCTCCGCGGGCCCGGCCAAGAGCCGTGGTTCAGCCAATCACAGGTGAGAATACAGCTGGCAGTCCAGCCTATCACATGCCAGGGTGCAAACGGCTCAGCTTCCCTATCGTTGGCAATTTCCCAGCTATTTCCCAAACAGTCTGTGGATAAAAAACTTATGTTTCTTAACCCTATTAGTGGCAGGGGGGGGGGTTGTTTTTATCCACCCCTCAGGTTTTTCGAGAATATCTCCGAAACCGCTGAAGCTACGAAGCTGAAATTTTCTGACTTTTCCTAAAACTAAATTGGACACATTCCCTGAAAATTTCAAGTTCATAACTTTACCAGGGGCGGCTCCAGAGCACTGGGAATTGGGGGGTCCTATTCGTGAAGCGAGTCATTTGGGCGAAGATCACGATGCTGCACCAGTTTTACGAACAGTGAATGAAAGGTATCATGTGATAACATATAAAGTTATTGTGCATCCTCTTTTGACACGTTTTTGCTATAATAGGCGGATCCAGGCGTCCAAAAAGGGGGGTTATGTTTTACCTCCCAACATAGGTGCCCTGACACCGCCTATGCATGACCAATACAATTGTAGTCGTTCTCTCATAAAAAATTGTAACATATCAAGACCATTACCAGCCCTTTTTAGAAACAGTACCAACAAAAACCTTATTTACTATACTTTTTGTGTACCCCCAATCTCAATGATCTGTATCCGCCTATGATTTTTGAAAATGCATATTTTTAGGATCCATGTGAATTCCTGGTTCATTCTCTATCGATCGGCAAAAGTTGCGTTAAGATTGGTTCAGAAACCTGGCCGTGATAAACAGTCTAAAATGTATCTGCAATTTGCCCGTTTTTACCCCCCTCTACCCCCCCCCTATTGACATTTTTTAATTTTTATTTTTTAGAAATGTAGATCACGTTGAGCGAAATCGAATGCCGTTTGAATTTTGAAAATCGGCCCGTTAGATCTCGAGATATCAAGGGGGGGGGTCGTAAACAGCCCCCCCCCCCTGCCACTAATAGGGGTAGCCAGGAGCCTGCCACTAATAGGGTTAAACAATTCAGTATTACAAACAAGATTCATCCTACAAATGCTGTTTCGCTAGCATTCGTCCGAATAAAGCCTCCCCTTATTAAATGTTGCAAATTATGTTTTATTCTTACCCTCTCTAACGCTAGTCCTTTCAGAGACTGTTCCACCCATTTCTCCCTATGCACTGAGCCGATTATTTCATTGTTCTACAGTACTAACCCCTGCCCCATCTCTGACCTCAGAGGGCCGACGGGGCGCCGAGGCCGCCGCTTCCCCGGCCGCCAGCCGCCGGCCGCCGCCGCACCGGCGCGCACTCAAAAAGGGCATCTCCCTGGACACTTACACCTGGCAGAGAAAGTACGGCGGACTGCTCAGCAAAATGGCGCCACGTGAGTTAACCAGAGTGACTGTCAGCTCGTAATGAGCTTGTAAACATACTTCTAGCAACTAGAATTTAGTATGCACTATTCTTGGATATCGAAGCTTTTGCACGTTGCGAAATTTATCAAAGATACACGAGCAATGGGATTGCATAAACAGATTACAACTGCTTAGCTAAATGCAAAAGCCAAATATTATGCATATTTGTTTGCTCATGTGTCTGCAGTTATCGTCTTGCACCAGTAAAGGCTTATTATATTCTTCCCACCCAATGCTGTATATAAACGCTTGTACTTTCCCGTTCTGCCGATGATATTATTTATCCGTGTAGGGTAAGGTGCCTAATTAGCGACCCTTTCCGATTTGCGACCTACCTCCCTACAGAAAAACTGGCGGGAGAAAACAGGGTAAAAACATCGTCAAAAGGTTAGCCATACTTTGGTTATCAAATTTAATTACTTTACGGTTGTCGATGTTTCTGGTGGGACGTTTCAGGTGAGTTTAAATGAAAATGACGAGTTTCTTATCCAAAACGTGTGTGTTTGGGCCCTCTATGATGAAAAGCGATGCACATTAGGATGATGCACCTTTTTTATTCTGAATCGACATTCCTTTTTCAATTGATTGCCGTTTTCCCATAGTGAATCGCTTAACTGTGCACAGCATGGCGGTTAAAAATGTGTCGCAACTCATATTTCCTATTTGCGCCTGACATGGTCGCAAATAGCTCAAGAAGGGAAAGAAAGGGGAAAAGAGAGAAATGAAAATGAGGTGTTGCTGAAGCTTGCAATGTGTGGCAGGGGATGTCAAATGTCGTCACCGACTGCAGGGGTGCCGAATTCAGCGCGGACCTCGAATATCATACGAGAGAGCCCGCAAAATCTGGGTTTCCGCCTTCTTTTCGCCTTCAGTGTATCACGTGATCAGTTTTTACTTACATAAATGTGTTGGATAAACGTTCCTGTTCGAGTGATTGAGTGCTTTGCGTATAGGTTACCTTTTTTGGATAATATTTCATCTTTTCAGGCGTCGCATTTTTTGCCATTTTTAATATGGGAAAACCCATAGACTTATTAGCGACCCTCCCCGGTCGCTAATCGGGAAGAGTTCCCTATTAGCGTTTTTTTTTGCAATGGTTTGCTAAAATGCTCACTACAAATAAATTAGTGAATATTGGGGCAGAAAATGACTATATTTTAAAAGAAAAATGAACGACCTCTCCGAAAATCAAGCCAGTAATACAGTGGCACCCACAGAGCGTGAGCAATGACGGTTCAAATTAAGGGGGTCGCTAATTAGGCACCTTACCCTACCACCATGCTTTGTATGCTTGACTTAGCTTTATCTTCACGCCTTGTATTCACATTGCACAATGCACATGCTGTACATATTTTCACGCATCCTCGCATGCATTTTATCTGCGTTTCATTGTCCAATCGGCCAGATTCTGACGCTCGTCAGGGCAGCTGTTCTTACTTGTGTTTCAGTGTCTCCGGTGAATGGGGAGAAACCCAGGAGGAAAATTGGGGAGGAGGAGATACGAATGTGTCCCGAAGGAGGCACCATTCACCCCAGTCAGGTGAGGTTCAGTTTCGGGCTACCGAGAGGCCGGCTGATAATTACTTGCTCATGTCGCTACGTGGTTTTCTTGCATCGTAGTCGTCTATGCAGGTGGTCATATTCTGAGGATACTTAGTATGATCGTTAGAGACGGTTTCAATGTTGTTCTAAGAGTTTTATGACTTGACGTAAGGTGAGCGATGCCAGGTAATCGATGTGATACGTCAAAACACATACCACTCATTTAGTCGTCCAATTATGGTGCCAGATGCCGGCAGCACTGGCGCACTTCTTTGGAATAGAATTGGAAAAAGTGTGTGTCGTATGGACCGTCTCCTATTGACGTTCTCCCTCCACCCCCTACAGATGCCCGCCGGTGTGTCCCGTCGGACCGACTCCCGTGAGCAGCTGGCGGCGCCCCCAGCACCGGAGAACGGCTCGTCCCGCGTGGCGCCGCCGCCGCCGCCCGTATCAACGCCCAAAAAGGTACGGCGAGGCAGTTTATTGAGGCTGGCGAATGGTGTATGAAAAACCGTCTCAAAAGGGATTGGTAAACTGAACTACACCACGCATCTCGTTGCAGCCACTCAGTGTAGTTGTTTAAACTAATAAAAGTATTAACGCTGCGGCCCGTATTGCGCTGTATGTCAGCTTCTTGGTTAAATTTGTCGTGCCTTTTCAAAGCAGGGAGGAGTTACTTGCCGCTATCCCCTCCGGTTTTTCACCGTCTTTACAGAGCTCTGACGTCCCGTCCAATAACGAAACAGACTCTTTTTGGGATGAGCCGAACTGCATAATACGGTCCTGGTACCTAACAATACTGACCCATCTCTAATTCCATATCTTTCTAGCGGGAGCTGAACCGCACCAGTACCGCTCTGGTTCTCACAATGCCCCGTCGCGCCGAGGAGCCGGCCGGCGGCGCGGGGCCCTCCTCGGCCGTGCCCGAGTCTCTACTGCGACTGCGGAGATCCACCGCAGGCTGTGGGCCCACAGCTGACGCCCTCCGTGACCTGATGCAGCTTCTGCAGAGGCCCGGAGGCCAGCAGGGCAGCACGTCCAAGTTCTGCAGCATCCTGTGACAGCGACTGGAGCAGCGAGGAGTGGCGGAGGAGGAGCTGAGGGAAGCGGAGGAGATTGAAGAGGAGTAGCAATAGTGGATGGGTGTGGGGAGTTGTGGTGAGCCGTGAGGTAGCGCGGGACTAGTGCCTGAATCCCACGCCGGCTAATGGGGCAGAGAGAGGTGTGTTTTGGTGGGTTGGGTGTTGCGATTTCTGCGGAAAGGGAACTAATAACACTGGAGAATTTGCGTGTCGGTATTTGAGGAAGAACACTCTGTTCTTTTCACAGCTATAGTTTGACAGTCGCCGCTGCTGTCAAAGTTTGGAATTGATTCTAGTCAAATGATACACATAACTTACGATGAAAAATCTTACGTGAGCCATATTGATGAAAACACAAAACTAGCTCGTCAACTATGTCTGCGTGATGCGTCGTTACTTTTATTTGAACTTAGTTGCTCCTTGACTGCGTATGCCATCGTTTTATTGTGACATGTTTTACAAAGCTAAGTAGCTCTCTTACGTCGTGCAATAATATCAATGTGTAATGTTGTAATTGATATTAGCAGTCATTTTCGGAGCTGCTTTGTGCTATGAGTTTTTTATCATTTCTTACTTCCTTTTAGTTTTGAGTATGTTTTCTCTTTTTAGTTCTTCTTTACGTGTAAACAGTTCATTTAAACACGTAACCGAATGCTAGTTAGTTTACGTGCGCCGGAAACAAAACAACGGTTACAATTTTGCCGTCACCACACGTATGCCAAAGCTGATAATGAGGGGATCCTATACTCTACAGAGCTAGTGTCACTGAACCTAGTTACGATTCAAATGCGACTGTTATTGACCCTGGACACTGCGCTGCAGCCCTCCCTGCCTTTCAGTGGTGTGTTCCTCATTCTAGGTATATGTCTGTAGAGTGGATGGATCTCATTGTTGCCTAATGTTACCATCAGCCAAGGATTGTGTCAGTTAGCATCACTATAAAATACCGCTAGATTATGTGTTACCTGTGTAACATGTCACCAATCGGTGGTGCTACCGATTTCACACTCGTATGGGTGTAGACTGTAGATGTTTCCAATTTAATGTCACCACTGGTGTTACGAGCTGGCTTTTGGCGCGTGCTTGATTCCTTTCAGCGAGCACTACAATAAAAGCTCGGCACCGCGTAGTGCAAGAAGAGGATGGAAGATGTGTGTACTGTCGACTTAAGAGTGTCGAACCTTCTGTGATATGCTCCCTGTAGCTTTACATATATTGGTGTGAAGGGTGATTGTGTGTGAGTGAAATGAATTGCCTAGATATTTGCAGCTTGATATGCTGCAAGGACAGTTACGTGAGCACTATTTCCACGAATTTTAAAACGGTAAAATGAGTTATGATCGAGCACAAATGTCTTTTATCATGCATTGGCACGGCACAATTTATTCTCCTGGCATAACTCGAAAAAGCAATATCGATATTAAATGTCGAAAGACTAAATGTCTAGATGAAGTCCCGCTGTGTCCCGAATGTCCCATTACTTGTACCGCTATTAGTTTCGAAAACTGTTCTTTGATGTAATTGAAGTAAGTCATGCGCGTTGTGGAGCCTGCAATGTCTGATAACTAATACCTTTGCCTATAGTCGCCCCCGACTAGTGTAAACGGGGCAACACCATGTGAGTCTGAATCCTGAATGTGTCGATAGGTTGATGTCAAATGTCGATAGCTTGGTGTCCAATGTTTCCTAACAAGTGCCCACCGACTATGTGTTCGTGTCACCTTTCACTGACCGTGCGCTGTTTGTGTTCGTGTCACCTTTCACTGACCGTGCGCTGTTTGTGTGCGTGTCTGTGTGTATATGTCTCAATAAGAGGTGTAAGGTTGAGCCAGAAACCGTCACCGTTATTGAAATAACTTTAGCAACGTGGTAGTCATACAACATTCTGGCGTAAAATGATATTTTATTAGAATTGGTGCGGCAAATATCATACCCAGGACGTATTGCGGAAGACATATTTTCTCTCCAACTAATCTCAAACCTATCTGGCCAAATTTCGCAGCCGGACAGCTGAACACAAGCTGTCGTCTTACCGCTGAATGCAGAGACAGCGTTTGCGCCTGTGTGCATGTCTCGCTTGGGGTCCATACGCTTAGGGAGATGTCTCGTGCAGCACCCTTAGCGTGCACCTGCGGTGTTACCGATTACTGTGAGAGTGATAAACTATAAATGAGCGATGAAACTCGTGGGATGGAGGCCGAGACCAATGATATCTTCTTAACCCGCGAGTTGCTGGGGGGGGGGGGGGGGGGCGTTAAACGCCCCCACTTTTTTCGCCGGGCCATAGCATAAAAATGGCGCGCCAAATTTTGGGTACCTGTAGGGAATTGATTGAAGTTTATTTTGACAAAGTTTCAAAAAAATCGGTCGGAAAATTTTTGAGATATCGAGGTTTTAGTGACGTCATGATTTCTGAGTTTTCGACCAAAAACGGCATATGTTCCAAAAATCATATAAAATCACAGAATAGACATACAGACATGCCGTAAACGCCATTAGACTGCCAATACCATGAACAATCAAATGGTTATCTTCGATTATTGATTATCGTTCCGCATTTTCCAGAATCTTGAACTGAATCTTGGTAATTTTTCGTGACTACTTCACGACCATGATACATGCATTTCTTAAATTGAACTTTTTGAGCCAAACACGTACACATATGATAAAATGAATGTCACCATCGTGTTCTACGCCCCAAATTACCTATAAAACATGTGTCACAGGCTGCGTATATCAGCTTTGATTTTCGGGGATATGTGCCTACCCGGTTGACCTGACCTTGACCCTGACCTATGCTTGACTGACCCCTACATGGAGCTGACACTCCTGTAGGCCTTATATGATGGATTGTGCACCGTTTTGACAGAGTTACTGACGAGAGGCGCCAATTGCGAAGTCCTGAAGTCCATGCTACTGAAAGCCCGATTTTAGGTGTTTGACCTGACCTTGACCCGACCTGTGACCTCAAAATTCAACTTTAAAGTACTCATCTGAAGCGTCTCGTCGCGTTCTTTCGTTTGCCGCCTCGTGCGTTTCGCTGCGCCTATTGGTTCTCGAGTTATCGGCTGGGGGCGTTTAACGCCCCCCCCCCCCCCAGCAAACGGTGGGTGGCGAAATACCCCAGCAACTGCCGGGTTAAATCATTTTGAAAAATATGGACTAGATTTACGGTACGGTTGTTTTTCCTCCGTTTTGCAGTGTCCGTTTTTCACGCTTGCATTACCTTGGGTCGTATACTATCGCTTCTGTATCTGTTACATTAAAACTACGTCACAAATCCCAAACTATGTAAATCGTTGGCTCTTTTGAGTTGTAGCAGTTGGACATCTGCGACAAGCCGGACCATTTTGTTCCCATTAATGTAACAATCGCTGTCCCATCTGTCCTCATTTCTGTTTAACACAGGGGTCAAGGTATTCTCATACCGAAAGCTTTGTGTGTTTAAATATACATTTGACCTGTTATTGTTACAATTTAATCGACCAAACCGTGTAGCGTATGTATAACCTCGGTGGGCCGCGCAATGAATGTAGAGATGAGATGTTCCTTGTCCATAAAACTCCTTGTGTGAACCATTCGTTTCTGAGCGTCTGTATGACCTGAACACCTGCTTTGAGTGTATAACACTGCGAGAAGTGATTGTATGTGTAGATGTTCTGAGCCTGTTGCCTGCTGATGCCCACGTAATAATGTAATCGGTGACTGAGAAACCCTTTTACAAATAAAAACAATTGATGGCGGCCACTTGTCTCGTGTCTCTCGAAAGTGATTGCTAATTTTCATTCATTTTTTCGGTAAGCATAGCGGCATATTACCTAATACTGAGAACTGATTTAACCCGCACCCCATCCAGCGTAAGGCTGTAAGCCGCGTACTTGGAGTGGTTTTGTAATGCAGTGTTTTCTTATCCTGAGCCTGCTTACTCATTGAACTGTTACTGCTGTTCGTGAGGGAGGGTGGCTAAAAAGTGGTTTTAGTAGTATTATGGTATATGTGCCGGGTATGGAGAGACAAAAAAAGACGGTACATGGCACATGCCTATTGTGCAGCATTCAAGGATCAATATTTTCCTGCCATATGACACATTCCGAATTGCGCCCACACAAAATGCGCCATGGCATGGGCGCATTTAGGGCTATGTCAAGATATCGAGGCTTTCAATGTTATTGTATACCTAATGTTATAAAAAGTGGTTTTTCAATAATTCGTGTTAGAAGCCGGAGTTTGACCCCAGAAGGTCTGAGGGGCCCGTACCTACACTGACGAAAAAAGACATTCAGGGGAACATTATCGCCCTTGCCAGTAAAAGGGCTAACTTTGCATAGTTCTCCGCGCCCCGCTGGGGGGGGGGGGGGCAGAATCTGTCCCCCTCCCGTTTTTCGCCAATAACTTCTAAACGCGTTACGCCAGCGACGTCAAACTTTCAGTACCTTATCATACATCAATTTGACACGTTCCCTGAAAACTTGAGCGAAATCCGTCGGAAATTTTTTTGAGAAATTGACGTTTTAGTGACGTCATGTTCGCCATTTTCGCCTCAAAAATGGCAAAATTTCAAACGCCGCTAACATCTTCATTTTTAAAGGAATCAAGACGTAACAAAAAAGGTTATACGTGATTCTACTTTGTCTATCAAATGGCTATCTCGGTTTTTTAAAATTTTGGATTTTGGCCCACATTAAAAAAAAAACTGATTTTTTGGGGAAAATATTTATAAAATCCAAAATTTTGAGTGTATCAAAAAACCGGAATATATGTCAAAGAAGTGGTCTATGTGCACCTACATACCAATTTTTAGAAGAATCGGTTCAAAAATGTGGAAGTTATTCAAAATTTTATGACGTAACGACAGACAAAAATTTTGAAAAATGATTTTTTTTTTAGTTCTAGACCTCGTACGGAAACAAAAATAGCACCATTCGATTCGCCGTGACAAACTGCATCAGATAGACACCTTTTTAGGCCTTAACAACCAACTTCAAAATTTGACCTCACTTGACCTGACCTTGACCTGACCTCGACCTGAAATTCATCCAGAGGTGGTCCATATCACTTATTGAGTGCGCCTATTGAATTATATGAGTAAAATGACCCATAAACCATGTGTCGCACGTGCCCTTTTCTATATTTTGTTTTTGGTGACCTGACATGACATGACCTGACCTGACCTGACCTTGACCTTGACCTTTGAATGACATTGTATGCAACGAATATTGTCTTGGTAGGTAGTCTGAGAACACATTTTGGGCAATCAGTCTCAGTCCATTCTTCGGCAACTACGGTGCAAGACCGATACTGTAGAAACTTGCATCTTGTACCCGATCCGCCTTGTTGAGAGCTTTCGATTGCCGTTTTCCCCGTCTTTCTACGACCATCGGTTCGGAAGTTAGACAGGGGGGGCAGAATCTGCCCCCTCCCCCCAGCAGGGCGCGTATGGCTGAATAGCCCAGCGGGGCGCGGGTTAATGCAATATTTCACGTGGCACAATAGGGCATGCTGTGCCTAAATACGCCTTTTGCAGGGGTTAGGAAAACCGCAATTTGTTCCAATAAAATGTGCTCTAAGTATAAGAGTGCAGGTAGATTTAAATAGAAAAATGTTCATCGATCGTTATTAACCCGCGCCCGGCTGGGGGTCCTGGATTTCCACGCCCTGCTGGGGGGGGGTGTTTGAACACCCCCCCCCCTTGTAACTCGGCTCCTGGGCCACGTAGCGATACGCGGAAGGCGGCGTTCGAAAGAGCGTCAAAAATAATGACGAAATCACATCGGTCAATTTTTGGTCAGGTCAAAGGTCAGGTCACCACTCACCAGAGGTCATTGAAGGCAAAATTTCGCCGATTTCCAGGTCGAATGTCGAAAATTTCCAAGAAGCCAGCGCATAAATCGGGAACCAATAGAGCTACAGCGCCGCGGAAAAGCGCATTCGATAGCCCTATTAACGCCCTTTCTGAGTAATTCTCTCAGATTTGACCTAACGTCAACGGTTTTGCCTGCAGGGGGCAAAAACTGCAAAAATAGCCGATTTTTTCGGAAACAGTTTTTCTACAATAACTTTTCACTCAAGCCTTGTACGAACCACTTGTAATTCGGTGTTTGGGAGTGTTTATAATGTCTTTCATCCAAAAGAGGCGCATTTCAATTTTCTCCCATTGACTTATAATGGGGAGGTCGCAAAATTGACCTGACCTTAGGTCATCGATATCAAAATTCTGAGATATACATTT